AAAAAGGGGGGGGAGGGGGGGGGGGGGGGGGGGGAGGGGTAGAGATGCTGCTGCTGCTCCTGCTGCTGCTGCTGTCCAGGGCTTCACAGCCTCTCTCTACTAACTCTGCAACCTCCCCTTGTCCTAGGACAGCAGGGACACTGGCAGCGGCACAGGGTGAGGGAAGAAGGGGAAGGGAAGGAAGAGGAGAGGTCGTGCCTCTGAGACGTGGGGGACGGGTAAAGGTAGGGAATTGTTACCTTCTTTGGGATTTCAAAAAGTCCCCAGCTGCTGCTCCCATGGCATGGTCTGCCCACCCAAGCTGGGGGGGACACAGGGAGGAGGCTGGGAGCAGGGGGATGCAGCCACCCCTGCAGCACTGGTCACTGTGTCTGCATCCCCCATTGAAGAACCCTGGATCCACTCTGGGTTAACCCAGAAAATTATAACCTTTTGGCTCATTGTTATTAAGTGCTCCTTACATTTGTTGCTCCTTATCATAAAGACTATTTTTTAATGGAGTTTTGTAGAAAATGTATGCACAATTTAATTTGGGGTTATTTTGGGTCTCCTAGATTTTTTCTTTTCAAAACACTATGGTAAATGCATTGTAAAATGAAATGTATTCAGGTATAAAAATGATGTTGATGTTGACTGAAATCAAGTGACAAGTTTCAATATTTATCCATTTACAGGCCCTTCAACCTTAAATAAAAAGGAAAGAATGAAATGCTGAAATATTCAGGTGCTTTTTCAAGGCTACTTAAGACTGTGCCTTTACAGGGGGAAAGGTTGTGTTTTTACTTTGTGTTACCTATAGCAGCTCACACAAGGAAAATCTGAGTGAAGGCAAGACAGTGGGTATCTATTATGAGCTAACTGCTCAAAATAAGTAGTATGGAGGAGCCCTGGATTTACCTTAACTTGCTAAGTCATGTTAAACTACAACTGTCTTATCTTTACTAGGACTTTACCTACTACTGGTTAACCTGAATTGCTTAAATGAAGTTAAAAATTAATCTTTTTTTTTCCTAGTAAAGACAAGGCAAATACCCTCCTCTAACTGATACTAGTAGAAAGTTGAGTTCAAATTCCCAGTGTGGCTTCCCACCCTTACAATCTGAAGGTTTTCACATTTCATTAGGAATATTTTCCCACCAGTGGTTTAAATTCTTCTATATGAGTGCAAGATGCTGTAGCTGCAAGTGCAATGAACATTTAAAAGCAATCAATTTGGAGCAAGAAACAGCTAAAGAAAAATTCCAATCAACACATGCTACACATAATGAAAAACTGCAATACTTTAAGAGCAGAAGGGATGTGACCAACAGGAACAAAACTTATATTTGGAAAGGATAGCAATGGTAATGCTTTGAAAAGTTGAGTAAACTTTGCTTTTGTGAAACAAGGGCTGCTGATTTGAGAGAAAAGATGATTTATGATTTTTCATTGTAAGGTTTCAGAACTCTAATCTATAACCCATGAAAGGGTGCAAGAGCAGCTTGAAAATTATGCTGAGCTTAATTATACTTAATGTGAATTATTCAGAAGTGCAGCAGAGAGACTAAAAATTTATTTCATACAAAGAAGCTTGACATTTTAATTGGTCCTTCAGAAAAGAGACAAAACAATTTCCTCTCAAGAAAATTTACATCTTCCCCATCAAAGCAGCAGCCTCAGCCAAGCAGAACTTCATTAACAAGATTAATTATCACGCCAGTGTATGCCTCATCAGGTGTGCAGCCCAGGTGAAAAGCAGAATGCAAAGCAACGAATGACATCGTTCCTAACGTTCAGCATTGAATCTAAGAGAAAACGTGACAGATTGAGGCCACTGTACCTTGGTCATTAGCCATTTTGTCAGGGTGCTCAACTGCAAGAGAAAGACAATATCATTAGATTGTGACAGCTCCTGGTAGGCAAGCTGACATATCAAATCAACAATTTTGTTAGCAGGTTTTTACATCAAGATGCTACTTTCCTGCACTTTAGGTGCATTGATCAGGATGAAAGGAGATATTTTATCAATCTCCTTTTCAAAGAGATTCTGAATAACTGAGAGGACAAATACAAGTTGTACTGTGTTTCATGTCAAATGCAGTCACAGGTTCTTGGGGGAAAGGTATATTTTTCAATCTGTTCTTCTTTTAAATCAGATATATCACCTGGAAATGTAATTAATTGTGGAAACAAGACAGAGAAAGAATGGGACGGGGACACGCGCGCGCGCACAATGCGTTGATGTGTGGACTTCTGTAGAGAATGTTTCTATGAATAATTACACACAAATCACTTACATGATGAAAGCTAATTCTGACTTACATTGCCATTGTTTCAGCTTGTATAAAAGGAGTTTAAAACTATTTACATGTTTTTGCATAATATACACAAATGCTGGTGTCATTTGAAGCACACCAGACAAGACTTCACAATGCTAGAGACGTATTAAAAGCTCTCCTGAACTGCTACACCTCCTGACTATTTATGATGTGATTGAACAAATTAGCTTTCCCTAGATTCAGAAATAGCTACCATTATGTAAAGTTACTCAATTTTCTGGTTAATACAATGGAAAATAGTATACAGGGGCTTAAAATAAAAAGAAAATTTGACAGACCAGGTTCAAGAGGCTGAGTAAACATTGTCTGCAAATGTAGAGTGGTTTTGGTTTTACACAAGGATTCTTCTTTTGAAAATCACTGCATTGAGTGATGACCCATGTTCATGCCATGATCATCACATTACCCTACATTACAGTTCACAAAATCTTGCCATGAAAAATGAATGCTTGAGCAAACAACAAAGTACATGACCTAATCACGTTGATTCCTGATAATATCTCCAACTTCTGTGAGCATTGAAACTCCCATCTGTTTTTTATGAGATTTCCTGCCAAGGTAGAACTGACCCCTAAGTAATTACGATGAACTAAGCTAATTTTAACTCTCTTTTTATGGAAATACAAAAAATAACAGAAAATATGCAGTACATATTCTCTCAAAGTTTCTAGAAAACTTCAGGGGAGGACTGGCTTCCTCACTAAGCCCTATGTGGGATTATGACCTTCCCCTTAGGACAAATGCATTTATGAAAAACGTTAAACTCTTGATTACAACTGCAGTTACCTTCATCCAAGAGTTTATGACACTTACAAGCCGCCCTGACAACATCCCACTTTTTCTGCTTTCTCCAAGCTATTAAGAAGATGTAACCTGTGACACTCTATACTACCATGAAATACTGCAGTGTTGGTAGATAACATTTGTTTCTGGCAGGTCATGCAGGTTCACATTTTGTACAGTTTAGGAACAAGGATGTGCTTTTTACTCACAACCCCAATGCAGCATTAGAGGGCACTGTAATGCTACAAATGCTGCCCCACATCATTTTTGCCAAATTAAAAAAAAAGAGGTAAAACATGTTGACATTTGAATGTTCAGAGCACTTCTAGACATTGGACAGCAGCCACATCTAATCCTGATGTCCTGCAGAATGTCCCTGAATAAAATCTCATCGCTGATTTGGTACAATGGTAATAGTGGAACGTAGTAGAAAACCAAGACCATATAACTCTATCATTCTCCTTTATATGCACACCTGATCATGCACTTCATTCATCCTTAAAATTAAACCGATAGGTTTTCTGCACATACACAGATTTTTTTCAGAATGTAGTACAAATTTAATGGAATAATACTCTTTTCCATTTGTATATGCACATTGCCATACTTTTTGTGAGACTATAACAAACAATTTAAATAATATTAACGTATTTACTTCAGTTAAAAGTGTGATTACACAATTATAGTTTGCAATTGGAAACTGAGATTGACATGTAGAATAAAATGATGCCTCCACTGAAAAACATGTAAGTCTACTAGTACCATTCTGGGATTTACTTGTTTGTGCCAGAGGTGAAAAAAAAACTTCACTAATGAATTATTTGAAAGACTGAGTGAATCTTGTCCTGATCTGTCACTAATTCAGTCAGCCTCTTCTTTAGCTAACACTTTCCATTGGGCGGTCACAAGTAAATTCCAGAGTGGAGCTATTTAATTTTGCTGCTAAATGGACTCCTGTTACTTTGCTACAAAAATGTATCATTTAATGTGATTAATTTATATTCTGTAAAGCTAATGGAACATTGCAACTGAAATCTTGCTTTGCTACTTGTTACTGCATGGGTCTTTAACTTCTAAAGGAAACTCTGGCAATATGTTTCATAATATGGCACCATATTACAATTTTACTTTCTATTTTCTTTTAATTTTTGTAGGATATTTACTGGATTGACCTGGCAGTTGTCTGGGTAAAGACTAAGAGAACTGTGATAAAGGCACCTCCAGCTTTGGTCCACAGCATGTAGAGACTAAGCTGCACATAATGGACTCATTTGGCAGGCAGGGAATAACACAAACATATAGTGGCTGGGTAACTTAGTACAGCCTGAGGCTCAGTGGTTCTCTCTGCTGCAGCCATTAGACACACTGCACTGAAATGCACAGACACAGACTTAAGTGACCTGGAGGATCAGGCTGAAGTTACATGTTACACTTAAATCATACTAAATCTGTGGACTGTTAAACAGTGTTAAAAGCTAAAACACGCTGTGAACAGTCGCATGTTAAGGGTTAATACCGTTTCTTGCCTGCACAGCTCTAACTTGCCACTAGGAGCCGGGCACCCGTGCTCTGTCCCTGCTTTGGAGAGGTGAGCGGGGCTGGGAGCAGTGCATCCATGGATGCTGAAGGACTGAAAATTGCTTGTTTCATCTTTATGGAGAAAACTAAAGTTACTCCAAGAGAAGCTGGGTAACGTGGCCTAGAGTTAACCCTCTCCTGAAGCGACATGTCTTTGAGATGCTCAGAGGGTACTTAGCACAATTTAAAGGGCTTTACCATGCAGACATCCCTCCATTTTAAGTGTCATTTGTATGCTTTGAGTGTAATGTGTAATTTCACCTCCAATTACCTCAACAGGCATTATTAATAACAAAGTAACAAGCCTTAATGATGTGCACACAGCTAGATACAGGCCAAGCATACCTCACTAAGTAATAAGGTAATGACATAAACAGGATTGGCTGACTAGCTAGTGCCATATATACATCTGAAATGGTCACCAATGTTATTCATGGGTATTTTAAGTGGTTTTGCACTGCAATAACAATAGGCATTAATAGGCATTGCCTATTAATTAACTATAAGTTGGGTGATCACATTTGACGCCCTGATTTCTTCCAGGTAGGTTTAAGCTCTTTGGAAATGTCTATACTAGCGTCCCTGTGCCTTATATGAGGAATACAACTGTACACAGCTAAAACTTTAGTGGAGAGATCCTCAGTTGATATAAATTGTCACTACCTCACTGAAGACAGTTGACTGAAGCTGAGGATCAGTTCTTTTTGACTTTATATTGCCTTTAACTGAAGTGAAGTGAGAGAAAATAAGCTCATTGCTTATGTTGCCATGTCAGCTTACCTATTTTCCTATAGAATGCTACATTTTTTCATTAGTAAAGGCAAGACGCTCAGTAAAAGAATACCTTGGGGTGTTGTTTTGAACTTGGCTAATGGGCTGGCTTCCTTGAAGAAGCTTAACATGCCATACATATATAAAAAGAGGCAGTGGATAATTTTGTAAACCTCTGAAGCTTATTTATTCCTTGTGGTTTGAATCAGGATATATATTTGCCATAGTGCATTCATTATCACAAGATACATACACATCTCATGTTAACAATCATAAAGGCAAGAAAACAATATTTTTGCATAACTCAGAACATACTCAAGACTCCTGAAGCTCTTTTCACCTTATGTATAGAGACAGATCTGTCAAAAACAGTTGAATATTATTGAACATGACATTTTTAGGGTGGATATCATTAAATATTCAGGTTGGGGTATTAGATGCAGTCCTTGTAGACTATTACAAGATGTAACAAATGTGTAAATTTATCTTTTTGGTATCTCTTGATGCTGCCTGATCTAGAATTCATTTCCCAAATGAGTCTTATGGTACTTTGTGTAAACACTACAAAGTAGGTGATATCTAGCCCATTAATCTTTTGGTTAGTTAGATAACTGGGTCTCTATATTTTTTGATGTCTCATTACTCTGTGGTTGTTATATTTTGATGCTTTGACTCATTTTAAACTCTATCTAACAGAGTTCTTTAACTTGGCACAAATTGTGAGCATGAAATTAAGTTGGCACCATCCAGTTGATAGAGATGAAGCACTTGCAAAGTGCTATCTCTTCACATTTCATGGTACTTGAGAATGAATAATCAGGGTCCTACTAATAATTCATTCAGAGCGAAACCTGACTTGGACAAGTAACTGCTGAAAACCTGGATAGACTGTGATAAGCTCAAAACAAATTGATACAATTTTTCATTTTTATGACTCCTGCTAATTCATTAAAACTGTTGTGTGAAGTATTTCATGCTTAGCCTGAATGGTTGGTAGCATGCTCCTCACAGACACTGATATCAGCTGGCACAGTGGGCAAGCCCTCTGCCAATGTTAAGTGGCTTGGTTGATCCACTGACCAATTCACATCTTTAAAGGTAAGTGCTAAGGGACAGACTGAAAATGGAGTCTCCATTCCCTTCTTTAAAAGCAGAAGGAATAGCCTTTTTTTTTCATTTAGATGTTTGCTGAAGGACAAATAAACAGGAAAAGAAAGAAGAGATACATGTGTAAAATGGGGCCTTTTCTGTCAACTATTTTTCAAAAAGATATATGTCATACATATAAAGCTTCAATTTAATATAGGTCTGCACTAGTACACTGGACTTAAACCTCTCTCTAATCCCATTGATCAGTGCTTTTCAGTTCTGGCCCTTACTTCTGCTGAAAGATTATTTTTTTATACTGTAATATCTGGAAATTTTCCCTCTTTGGAAAACACACAGCTAAAACACTCTGCATCAGCCTGGGTTCCTAAAATAGGTATATTGTCTCTACTGTATCATTATGTATTTTTTAAATAATTTAATACTTTCATGTAAGTAAGATCAGTTATACTTAAAATAGCTGCTTCCTATAACCTTCATACAATTCACAGCAATTTAGTTTACATCTTCACACCCAATAATTTAAGGTTAGATTGTACTAGGGTTTTTGCAAATAGGCAACAGAAGGCATGAACTGGAACGCACTGGGCACATCTACATGTTGCCGTACAGCACCCTACAGTGACATAGTGATCATGTGGGTCTACATGTGATCAGCAGCTACATCACCGTAACATCACATTTCCTTGTTACAGTGCACCGCTATGGTGACGTAGTGGTGAAATCTAACCATGCACTGCACACATGGTGCAGTACAGGTGGTTACTGTGCCATGCTTTAGTATTTTCAAGAGGAAGAACTAAGGCATGGTGCCACAGTAACATGTAGATGAACCCACTGCCTACTTCCATTTGCAATGAAGTCAACCACGAGGACAGGTGCAGTCCTTAGTTCTTGTAAGCCTGTGCATAGTTTCCTAGTTAAACACACACAGGCCCTGTCAGCCAAAAAATGTTGCTTTCTCCCTTATAATGGTCATGGAAAGGCTTACATTTCTTGAGAGCTAACATCCAGGCATTAAAAATACTCTGATGTAGCTGGTAAAGGGGAAAATTCCACATGTGCACAACAATCTGTCTGTGATTCAGGCAGTTGTTTGTTTTTTTTTCTTTAATTATTTGGCCTTTGTTTGAACAATAGAAAAGGTGAGAATCATAGTTTTATATATCTACTATGTTGATATACAAGTGAGTCATTGCCAGTTTCCTACAACCACCAATAGACATAAATGAATACCAAAATGAAAAGGCGCCCATCTGAGAAATTGCAGCCACATGCAATTAGGTTCTTTGTTGATGGCAGAAAGTGGGGTAATGTCATATATCTTTTGTTCAATGAGTTTACATTTAAATACATCTATTGCCTTATCATGTAATTAATGTTTTTGTCTACCAATATTATTGTTTTCTGTTATGTCTCTCAACAATGGTTTCAAATATTAAGGTGTCTTCTAAGCCTTCCTCAAATGTGCTAGTCATTGCCTGCTTGTGGTTTCACTGAAGGCAGCTGAAAAAAATCCAACCTTAAGCTTACACGCCTAAGTATAATTATAATATCATTAGCATCCAGATAAATTAGAGAAAGCACCAAACCTTTCAGAGTCCGGAAGAGAACAGGATCAGAGAGAGGCCCCACTCCTTTGGCATTGCGAGCTTGGATTCTAAAATAATACACCGTGTCTAGGTTGAGTTCCATAATCTGATGGGTAAGTCGGTCACCACTGATTGATTCCATAACCCAGTCATCAATTGGAGCATTCTTGTCCAAGGTATAGAACAGGATGTAAGCTAAACAAAGACATTGTCTCAGTTAGTATATACAGTGCTTTTGGAATTTTCCTCTTTACAAAATACATTCAAAATTTTAAATTCAGACAACATTTTCCCAAAAGTATACATAAATGAATGGCAGATCTTTGATAAAATACAAACATTACAACAATTAATGCATAACTTTCCTACTTTTAGTATAGAGTATTAATTATAGTACTCCCCATAGGTATAGTGAATAAGAAAATATTTGGCATGCTTTAAAGTGTTCAACATGTTGTACATTGCATTTATCCAATTCAGATTCACAAGCCAGTATGATATCAGTCATAAACCATGTGATAATAAGTCATTAGTGTTTTGGGACTGAAATAAAACTAAGTGATATTGATGATGTGCATCATTTACTGAGTCTTCATGAGAAACTGTGCAATATTTCCTACTAATGATGTGGAGACTTCACTCAGAAAAAAAAAAATCATTGTAATATTTTCACTGTGTCTTACAATTCCCCAAGAAGAAGTGAGCCATCACTGCATATAACTTAGCAGATACTTCAGTGTAAAACCACAGTGATTGTAAAAGTACCAAAGCAATGAAGTACTTGCGTTTTTTTTTAAGTGACTTAAAAAGTGAAAACATAAGCAAATTAAGGTTTTGATCAAGAACAACTAGACCTATATATGTGTGTGAAACGTTTTTATATTTGCGCAGACCTCTGCTACCTCAAACAAGATTCAATATGGGTAAAGACTCTGCCAGCGTGGGATCACATGAGCTGATCCTCTGTTTTGTTTTAAAACATGAGTTATAAGCCCATACAAATCAGGAATAATTTGAAACAATAATAGTCTATGGAAATGGTTTTCTTGAGTTTTCTCATTTCTTGAGAAGGAAAATATAATTTTCAAATACAAGACTCCAGGCACCTATACACAAGCAGTGAGGCTGCTCCAACACACTTTAATTACAGCCTGTTGTAATTAATTGAGTCTGCTGGAGCATGGTAATTACCGTGATCCAGTAGACTCCAGCATCCTGTGTATCAGCATCCCTGTGCTGAAAACTGGCAGTGGGGGTACTTTAACTAAAGCTCATTTGATGATTTTAATTAAAGCAACCCTGCCACCATTTTTCAGCATGAGGATGCGGATACATGTGACACTCCAGGTACTTTAATTACAGTGGTTCTCCCTCCCCTCACCCCATGCCCAGATCACATGTATAAATGCCCTCCTTGGCCTACGGACAGAAATTATACATAAACCAGTACAAATAATCAGAAACAAGTTCAAATCTGTAACACAACAGAAGTTCAGTGCACATAAATCACTTTCAAAATGGCCAAAACTGGTTTAAGATAAACTGGGTGGATGTAGTATTAGACTTAACTGATTTAGGTTAAATCCATTTACTGAACTTCTGTCTCAGACCCTCCAGATTCAAGTTAACTCTCAGTTCCCCAGCATCCCAGGATGGGGTTTCCTATCCTCTGGAAAACCCACTTTGTATGGTGGAAAGGCTGGCCTTGGCCCAAGCTGTCTGCTCCAGCCAAGCAGAGAAGCATACTTTAGCACCACCTGACTTCTGGCCTGAGCCACTGTAGGCATGTGGCTGCATTTATGGAATCAACAGTGAATGTCTGTTCAGTTGCTGACTGGTTCAATCTAGGCAGTTTAGACTAACCTGCAAAGATGGAATCAATTCAGCCTCGGGCTTTTTGATTGTACTTACCAGATTTCATGGTGTGTAAGTTGAGTTTTGAAGCCCAATTTTTAACTCTTAAAATTCAACCTAGACTTATACACCATATCACTGTCCTTTGCTAGCTGCACCGGGCTCAGCACTCAGTGCTGCTCACAGGGGGGCAGGAGCGTGCCAATCGAGCACCAAGTCTGGCACTGTCTGCTGCAAGCAGTGCTGCAAAGCGCTGAGCTCAGCCCCGTCCGCTGCAAGCGATGCTGGGTTCTGCACTCGGCTGGCGTGGCCAGGCTTGGTGCTCAGCAGTGCTGCTTGCAGTGGACAGGGTGGGACTGGTGCTAGCTTGCAATAGACAGGGCCAGACTTGGCACTTGGCTGGCACAGCCCCACCCCTTGAGAGCGGTGCCCGGCTTGGTGCTTGGTAGGGCTGTGCAAGGCTTCGGACTGGACTTCGGATCCAGAGGAGCTTTGGATGCTTCAGGGTCCAAAGCAGCATGTCTGGGTCAAAGCACTGGCCTCGTTCAGCTTTCTGAAGTGGTTTGGAGCTCCCAAAGAGCTCCGGAGTCGCCTCGGAGATCTGGCCATAGGATATAATGGGGAAACAATAAAATATCTCAAACTTTGTTGTTTTTTGTCAAATTTGGATGAAATTTTCAGGGGTGGTAGACTCTGCAGAGGGAATGAAGCCTGCCAAGCTTCAAGAAGCGCGGTGCACGGGTTTGGGGGGAACAGAACCCCAAATTCTTGAGAGCAAAACTCATATCACGTCTAAGTGTTACAACATAGCAGGGTGAAAACTGCAGGAGTGGTAGCTCTTACTGAGACCATGAAGCCTGCCAAGTTTCAAGAAGATCGGTGCAGGGATTTGGGGGAAACTGCCCCTCAAGATGCGGCCAAGCAAAACTCATGCCATGGGTGCTTGTGGGACTGACTGTCTGCCTTGGGGCTGGGAGGGAAGACACTGCTGCAGGCCTGGCTGCTGAGCCCCTGTGTTCCCAGTTACCAATCAATCATGATTCACTCAGGGACCAGCTCAATACACAGGACCTAGCTACTACAGAACGACTTAACGAGCATCAATTAGCACCTACAAAAGCAGGGTAAGGAGAGGAAAGATTCAATACAGACAATCAACTGCCCCAGGACAGACACAGTCTTGGCATGAGCTTGTCCGTCAGCAGCTAGGGGTGCGGGGCCCCAGACCCCTCCCTGCACCGATCTCCTCGACAGCTGGTAGGCATAAGGGCAGGGGCCACCACCCCTGCAGCTGTCACCCCGCTGCACCTTAGCACACGCAGTGTCACCCATGGCACAAGTTTTGCTTGTCCGCAGCTTGAGGTTCAGTTCCCCCCAAACCCCTGCATCGATCTCCTTGAAACTTGGCAGGCTTCATGGCCTCAGTAAGAGCTACCAGCCCTGCAGTTTTCACCCCCATGTGTTGTAACACACAGCCGTGACATGAGTTTGGCTTTCAAGAATTTGGGGTTCAATTCCCCCCAAACCCCTGCACTGATCTTGAACCTTGGCAAGTTTCATGCTCTCAGCAGAGGCTACCATCCCTGCAAGTTTCATCCAATTCAGACAAAAAACAACAAAGTTATAGATATTTAATTGATACCCCATTATACCCTATGGCCGGATCTCTGAGGTGGCTCGGAAGCTTCAGGGCCACTTCGGCCGGATCGAGGCGGAAACCCGGTCCAGAGCTCTGAAGCGTCCAGATCCAAAGCCGGATCGGATTGCTGCCAACTTAAACAGGCCTAGTGCTCGGCTGGCACATCCCAGGCCACGCTGTTCTCAAAGGATGGGGTCACACCAGGCAAGCACCAAGTCCAGCCCCATCCCATTAGAGCGGTGCCATGGCACATGTCCACCCCACAGGTGCTCAGCCCACAGTGAGGGCCAGTATTAGTCAACCCCATATTTAAAATCCAAAAAGCTAGGTCGACTTATGCACTGGATCTACAAAATTCCTAACTTGTTAGATCAGAAAAATGAAGTCGATTTATACACTGCATTGACTTATACACCATATAGAGTAGTCCTTTTGTGTAGATCCTCTGCTGCTGCAAATTGACATGTGGTACCTTCACTATTCCCCGGTTACTTTTATGCCCTCATTGTCACTGAATGGTGCATCAATGAGTCAAAATTAAGTTTAGGGATGAAAGTGTAATTATTGCAATGATCATTTTTTTTGCACTGCTTGAACAATTTTGTTAAGAGAATGATATATAATTATTACATTGCTGTTCTCACTATTAACTCACTATTAACTCTATGACTGATATTTTTGGTCATGAGGTATTACCAACTCAGCTGCATTGTTCTCTGTGATCAGGTGACAACCATATCCCATATGTTACCTTATCTATGTAACTTATTAGCACTTCAGTCAATGAAATTATTCATCGAATAAAGTGATATACTTGCTTAAGGACTTGCAGATGTGAAGTTTCAGTCATTAAGGGCATTTTTGTCTTGAAGAATGAGCTTTTGCCTGTCCTTGACATTTCTAAGTAACATTTGACCATTTCTGGCAGCATACTGGAACATTGTAATGATTTCCAGCGAGTGATATTTTTAACAGAAGTGCCACAAAGGAGAATGATTTCTCTGTGGATACCCTGGGACAAACTCTTCCCTTAATTATTACACTATATATGTGAAGAAATAAAATCACCGTCTCTGATTCGTTTACATCTGTGGAAATCATGACCGCCAACTTTAAAGTAATACTAATTAAAATATTTATTTATCTTGTATTACTAAATTGGTTCATTTTCAAAAACATTTTTTTTCAAAAATTCCTTGTGCTTCTTCTCTCTCCCCGCCCCCATCCCCTCCCTCCCCCCCTTCCCTTTTGGACATGATCAGTGATTATAAAATACCAAATATAATGTATAGTGAAATAATATACACTAAAGCACTTCCAGTTTGAGAGGTATTATCATTGGGAAGCTTCCAGACAGATACAGATATATCTTCTTTTTATTAGTAAAACCAAGCCAGATCCTTTACTGGAGTAAATCACCTTAGGTCTCTAAAAATATTTTAAAGCATTCTTATGTCCATATTTATGTCTCAGGATGCTTCATTGCTATGTAGATGTGATTTGTATCACCAGTGGTGACATATATAGACAGTCCTTTACATGAAAAAATACATTGGAAGATTTCAAAAATCTACCCATTTTTTGTGATGCGACCATAATGTGCATAGTAAAGTTGGACATTAATTCTCCTACTAATTATATGTCTCTGAAATGCCTATTAAAACCTAAAGAAATCACTTGAATACAAAATCACATCTAGAACTCTACTATATTTTTTTCATACAAAATTATTAGTACAAGGTTGTAATGGATGTTTTAATTAGGCACTGATGTTATATGCAATATTTTGGAAAATAAAATATGTCACTGAGAATCACCCATTAAAGTTCAGTCCTTGTCAGTCAATATTAGGATTTTTTTCTAATCATAAGTCCTTTAAATTGTTATTATAACATTAAACTTCTACTGATAAATTGTACCATTATGTTCCATAGCAAGCCCCCTATCATTATGTATGTTATGTATTACATTATTGCCAAAAAAACCCTTATAATTAGTCTTTTTGAATTATCATTGAGTAGCATGCTGACATGTTAGAAGAACTGTGCTCAGAGTAAATCCATTTTTAAAGTTGATGATTGCTTTTGAGAATTAAAAATAAGGAATGTACACAGCCTCAGTTCTACCTCCTGCCATAACTCTCACAATTAATTGATTCTGAAAGCAACTCAGCACTTCAGTGTAAAAAAAGTAACAAAAAAGATCAGCTGAAATAGTGCAAGTGGAAATAAAGATGCAACAAAAGTAAATGAAGAGTGAAATCAATCAAACAAACAAACACGTAGAATAACATAAGAACTAACCAGTAATTTTTCCATTGGCTTCTAATGGAGGCTGCCAGCTAACAATGACAGCTCGAGGCTTCCCTTCCCGGGTAATGACTGTCAAATCCTTGGGAGCAGAAGTGGGAGCTTAAAAGAATGGAAATAATAGAACACAAAAGCTAATCAGACTCTTGGTGATATATCTGCTTCTGGTAAATGGTGTATCAGCAATAAACTACTCATTGTCCATTTAATCCTATCTTAGGTCCCTGATCATTACCAATATATTCTTATGCAGTATGTTATGTGCCTAGAAATGAGACCATAAGGGAAACTGTTGAGGACTCATTAGCTGTGGGTACTTCTGGATACATGGATCCCTTTTATCCCATTGAACCTTAGTTCTTATAACAGGCAGGAAGCAAGGTATGCCAAGTTAGCATATCAGGTACCAAAATTAGTGTATCAGGTGGAAATCCACACTGTCTTCTGCTTGACTTAAGACTAATATAATTACTTGTGTCTCATAACCTACTCCTCATTGAACTAGCCGAGTACCTTTCACAGACATTGGGGCCATCTAGAAACTAATGTGTTTTAAAATAATAATATGAATTGTACTGAACCTATAGCATTAAAAAAAATCTTAAATGACCATCACTACTGAAAAAGTAAACCAATGAAAACCATGCAAAACAACTTTCTGGACATCATAGCAAAACCCTTAGAGTTTTGTGTACCCAAAGCACAGAAGGAATACTACGCCCATTGAATATGGCAGGCCAGATCCTTGAGTATTTTGAGTCTGCTTTGACTGGAATTCAGGCACAGTATTTTTCCTCATCAAGAGGATTCTCTGTCATAATCAAGGGGGTAGGGGACAGTGCTTTTGCAGAAGGAGCTTGGACACAGAAGCACTAACCAAGGTATTCCTCGACTCCATGTTCAAATAGGGAGGTGTTCACCTCCAGAAGCTAGGCATTGGCCATGTCTACACAAGATGCTTACTGCGCAGTAGCTTGTTACTACTGCACAGTAGCGTCGCCGGGCAAGAATCATGATGAAATGCTACTGCACAGCAGTAGTGAGCTACTGAGCAGTAAGCATCACACAACAACTGTGCTGGGATGCTACTGTACAGTAACAACAGTTACCGTACAGTCATTTAGTACTTGCTTATGCAAATACGAAATGACTGCACAGTAACAACTGCGCAGTGGGCGGCTCATGCAGACACCACCCAATATGTTGAAGAAGGCAAGTGAAACACAGAAACAGAAGAATGCCAGATGTAATCTCTACACCTGCTCTGTTCACCGCCCTCACTTCCATTATGTGAATTTAATTCATGTAGAAGTAATTTTATGTGAATTTAATTCATGTGAGGTCATTACCGTTTTTAATGATATTCTGTTTTTTAGAAAGCTCCATGTAAAACAAGATGAATGCATCTCTATGCTGGACCCAAAATTGAAACTAAATGATTGTGCCAAACAGCCGGAAACAGGTGACCTCTCTGAACAAGCAACTCCTTCAAATGAATTCTGACCAGGTAGTCTGATGTATACCTAGTTAAGTTTATCATATCATCATACACAGGGAAGCTCACAACTTCATCATTAGTGATACATTGATAAGTAGTATCCAGCCATCTACTGATGTTCTGGCCAAGAGATGGTGTCCACTGCCTACTGGAAAGCTTAACTTTATGCATTTCCACTGGATTTCATTACAGATGAGAGTGATAATGTTGGCATGGTTGTTTATACACACTAGGGGAAAATGTTCAAAAGTTTGTGTTCAAACCCTGGCGCACACTACATAATTTTAATCCTTCCAGAAATCTCTTAACCTAGGTATATGTAGAGCATGATGTGTACTTACTTAACTAGGAAAGTTTACGTTACAACAGTGGTCTTTAGAGGGTTGTATTGCATAAGAAAACATTCAACTCATGCCTAGCTTATGACACTGGCTCATCAATTTAACTGTATAAGACTGAAAAGGACCTCTTAGGTCATTAAGTCCAGTCCCCTGTTTTCTAAGCAAGCATATAATATAACCAATATAAATGGCAGGTCTCTGGTTTCTAAAGCATAATATTTTCTCGAGTCAAAGTAGAATCACCATTAGTTGGCAGCAGTACTTTAGCCTATCTCAGGGCCACTAAAAGTCTGGGTTGGTATAACAGGATGAGCCAATACCACATAGTCCTTTATAAAATAACACATTAGAGCAATAAAGCTGCTAAACAACAGAATATTTCAATTTTTATTCTCATCTAGTCTTAAGTTCCTTGAAAAGAAAATCCCATTTCATATCACAAAGCTTGAAACAAAGCCTGTTTTTAAAAACGATGAAAATACAAACATACCTGCTTCATAAGTTGTGGCATGAGCTGTCATGCTCCATGTACTTGACCTTCGACCTTTGGTTACCATGACAGAGAACTCATACATGGTATTTGGCTTAAGGCCTATTACAGTGTGACTCAAAGCTGTTGTATCTGCTGACTATGAAGTGGGGAAAAGAGGCAAAGACATGTTAAACGGTTAAAGCAATTGATTTACAAATGCTATACGACAAAGAAAGCAATAGAGCAGAATACAATGACAGCAACAATGAAGTTCTTTTTAAGCATACTTTTCTGAGACCCAAAGTCATCTTGTTGCTCTTTTAGGTACATGCTATAAATAAGACACTGATTATGCTATTTTAGATAGATAGCTAAAATATGGTGATCCTTTCCCAGCTCCCCCACCTTCTCCAAGATAAAACCATTTTCAAGATATTGTTTTCATATGCAAGGAGAAAATGCAAAGAGAACAAAAGTAGAAGCTGACATTAGGTCCTTCATTTCTTCCCTTAAAAGGAAAAAAGGAACAATACCATGTATTAAAGATTTGCATTTCTAGGCTGCTTTGATCTGTGTCACCATTCTAATGTTATATTAAATTGTATTTTTGGCTTTAAAATTGTTTCCCTTTCGTCTTTGGTTTATTTGTCTTTTATTTGTCAAACGCTCTCTAATGGAAGCTTACGAATCATATTTACCACCAGAATAGTTTTAACCAACGTATTTTGGTCTATGGAGCTAATACATATTTAGCCAGGAGATTTTTCCTTCTTTTTGCTTGGTTAAATATTAACTTAAGTTCTAATAAAAGTTAATGTCTTTAAGGACTGCATTTTTGTCTGCTTAGGTATGATTTTTTGTATATTTTTTGGAACACGTATTAGTTAACTAATTGCAATCTATTATGGGCTAATACATAAACTGATATTGATATTAATATTAAATCCAGTAATGTCTATTTATCTGATTCCCGCCCCCCCCAATTAATTTCTATTTATCTAGCCCCCCCCCCCCCCCCCCAATACTAAAGCAATCATTAAGAGATTCTGCAAGTTTCTAATCACATGGACACATCCAGAAAAATATTTCAGAACAAAAATGGTGAAAACACCATGAAATCTACTCTACATTTTAGAGTAGTGGGGCTAAACTTTTAGCAAGCAAGCCACAAATTAAGCCCCATGCACTTCCCAAGTGCCACTCCCATTCCCTTCCCCTGCCCCATCTGCTACACTGTATCCTACTCTCTACCCTGCACTTCCTACCAAATCTGTTGCTCTGCTTTCTGCTCCTGTCCTATCATCAACTGTGCCCCCCACCACTTTCTCTGATCTACTGTGGCCACACAGAGGCAGCCTGTGCCACTTGTGGGACCTGTGCCACAGGTTGGGTGTTACCTCAAAACCCTGAATTGGGGAACCCGCAGGTTGTTGTGAAGTGTTGCATAGCAATCTGGCCATGCCTGTTTTAGAGCATTTGGAGTCACATGGTAGAGGACCCAGGCCTAGTAGTGTCAAGCATAGGCAGTGAAGTGTCAAAGGTTATCAGTGATGCTGCCAGAAATCAGAGCTGATGATGACATTCTACTTCCTGCAGAGCATGCCTTCAGTTTGCATTATACATTGCAGCATAGCTTTAACTTGTATTAAATGCCTGAGGTCCTAAAATCTGAATGAATCCCCTAAAATTTTATGGGGTGGAGGGGGAGGGTGGAGAAAAGAGTGACATTTACATTCAGTTTTGCAAAATAGCTGACTTTGCTTCAGAAGAATGGATCCTTTGTAACCTGGTAGGCTGTCTGGAACAATGTAGATTTCTGATAGTTGCTAAGAATGTCACCCTGACGTGGACATTGTGCCTCAACTCTTATTTAAAAAGTGCTATTGGAAGCTTCCTAGACATTGGAAAATACTGTAGTAATTTTACAGGTGAGTGAGAGACATGCTCTTCTCAGACATATTAGTATTTGCCAATAGTAACATAGCAAATAAGTTTGTAAGAATACAGGTTAAAGTTTTTTCTACTCCATAGTACTTTGGCAATGATTTTTCACAGCTATTATATAAATAACTTTCTTTCATTTACCAATTAGAGGCCATATTCTGTCACCTATATAGTCACTGAATGAAAACCTAGCCTAGAAGTTGAGTTGAGTTTTGCAATTGAGTTCACTGGCATTTTAGCCACTTCACAGTTCTTTATGCTACAGAGTCCTGCTGAAACCAAAGTGAATGCTCATGGAATACCATGAGAAAGGGTAGCAAAATCTGGCTATTACAGAATTTGTTTTCTAGTTAAAAAACAGATTTGAATACAGTTGATAGAACTTTTGCTCACTGACTTACATGGAATGATTACTGACATAAACCAGGCTGCATACAGACATTTGGAGAGTTTAGATTGAGTTAAAAATAGTCACCTCGTCTAAGGTAAGTCAGGCAGGCAAGGTTTGCGGGAAAGATCAGGGAGTTTGGGGGAGGGCAAGCAGCAACTGTAGGGGGATGCGAGGGTAGGTGAGGTCTGCAGGGAAATTGCTGGCATGCAGGAGGGTTTGGCAGCATCAGGGGGACTCATGGGCTCCATGGGGGACTTGAGGGATGCGGGAGCTTTCTCCCCCACCCCCCAGGACCAGGGGCTATTTTTAGCCCCCTGACCCTCCCACCACCAAATGAACAAACTCCCATCCCATCCACCCAGACTCACTGGCTTGGCTTTCAGTATTGGTGAATGCCAGTAAAACAAGCACCAGGAGTGTCTTGCAGGATGGGGGGTTTGGCAGACTCGGTGTGGGTGGGGAACTCAGGGCTGGAACCAGTGGCCAGGCTTTCCCAGCCCTATGGATATGCTGGGAATTGTGCAGAAGTTTAGAACAGTTAGACTGGTCTAAATATACCCAATGCAATCTCTGTTGGACTACCTCAGAGGTATGGTTAACTTAGATCAGGCTGGCCATTTTTAGACTGAATTGTCTTGAACTTCTGTACAGTTCACACTTAGATCCACTCTATTAAAAGAAAACTTATTTTATTCCAACCGAGTGCTTTTTGTTTGACCTCTTTGATTCATACTAAATATTAGCATTACAATAGCCCTGAATAGCATTTGAGGTCACCATCACAGTGAGATGAGTGAGGTATATTCAGTCCCTTGTACTTCTAATGATGCTGTTCTGTGTGTGTACCAATAGAGTCTTTACAAAGTGAATTTGCCAAGACAAATTGAAATTGATAAAGTTTATGGTCCCCTCTACATGTTACTTTTATGTCGCGATTAACGACATAAAAGTAACCCAATTTAAGGTGCTATAAAATGTTAAATGAGCCATAAAAATGTTCCACATATAATGTAGAACATTTGTCTGGTTTGTTTGGCACCTTAACTTTAATGTGTGACTGGGGATGACAATCAACTGATTGCTAGTCCCAGGGCTAGATTTGCACAGGGGTCTGGAAATGGTCCTAGTGTGGTCTGTTCATGGGTTGGCAGGTGAGAGTAAAGTGAAGGGCTTGCCTACTTCCCACACCTGACAGCTTTGGCTGGAGGGCTGGGCACACAAGATCAGAGATTCCTGGTGGGGTACGTTCAACATGCTGGTGCAGGGGGACCGTAGGCACATGATCCCAGGCTCCTCCTGCACTGGCAAGTAGTAATAGCTGGATTGGGACCTCATTTCTGATCTCAAATCTCATGTGTTGCCATGCACATATGGCATGTGCTAGAGCCTATGTTTGAAACAGAGAAAGCTAAAAAATCACTGTATTAATATTTTTAATCTAAGTACATAAAAGTTGTGGGGGACACTGACTGGGAAACCTGAAAGGATAAGAGGTTCAACTCAGACACATATTCTAACAATAAGGATTGTATCCAGTCCATTGCCTTGATACAACGCCCAATAAAGTCTATGGGTATCTTTCCTTTGACTTCAGTGGGCATCAGACTACGTCTACTCTAGGCCCATTGGAATTGGAAAAGCCAAGCCACAGATTTTACAAAGAGGATCTTTCTTGCAAGACTGCTCATAGTTCCTACTTCTGATTGGTTGAACCATGTTGAAATCCAGACTAGTTTGCTTCAGTTACATAGTGGCCGAATGAAAAATTAAAACAAATAGAATTTTGCCTCAGTTCACCAATTTGTACAAATTGCCAGTGTTTGGCAGCAGAGATTTTAGTGCTTTTCCTTCTAGATGGAGTCAAAACTATCCACTCTTCCTTTGCCAGTTTTATTAAAATCAGGTCTGTGACCTTTTTCACCTAAACCTTCCCCTCAGGCCCCAATGGCTGTATATTTATTTAATTCCAGCCAAAGTCTTTGTTCCCCTACCTAAATCTTTGTTCCTTGTGGAGTAAGATTCATTTGTGATTTCTACTTAATCCATTTTAGCACTTTCCCAGAAGGACTCAATCCCTGCTACAAAGACAGGATACATGCAGCAAACTCTATTAACCTGCTACACTTATTTTAGCCAAATCAGTATAGCTTTTCCTTGGGAGATGACTCTAACAAGGCCACTTTGATATTTTTGTTTTGAACCTGGAATATCCCAATGGGCCTTCAGTCAATAAAATTAACATAAAGTGACACCATGGGAAATTTAAGTGCCTAAAAGGCACAACAATAATGTTCTGCTCTCTGGATATGGTTTCTTACTAGCGGAAATAATGTACTGAATCTACGGCTGTATCCTCTGTAGTCTGCATTTTGCTGAAAATGAGAATAAATCTCTCAATGTGTATCATATCAAGCTATGGTATGACATTCTGAATGCTAAACTACACCATTTTAGAAAACGTCATTCTTCATGGTCCTATGAGAATGTGGCTATCTTATGAGTTTAATACTACTGACCAGCACTGAAATATCTAAGGTTATAAAAAGTATGATACTAGACATGAGACCATGGAATTAGCAGTCATTCTATAATGCACGTTAAAGATACTCAAGAACTGATAAGCAATTTTTGACTAGTAACTACAGACAGTTTCACCAGTAAGTATCTGTAGCTAGACGGCAGCTGGCTTGCATCTCCTCTGACTTCCACCAGTGTAAATTAGTCCCACTGAAATCAATAATTACACTAATCAGGGCCACTGAGCTGAATTCTGGGAGATGGTAATGACAATTGCTAGAAAGATCATGTCCAACACAAGGAGTGAGGGCAAGAAATCTTCCATCTTTTTTTCTGGGTCAGCAGCACAGTCTAAGAAGCCAGTTTCTTAATGGTACTTAGGTCAGTAATTATGAGAGGGTCTCATTCCAAATGCAGTATGTAAATTATAACATGTGATTATAACATGTAAGGAGGTAACATTTATTTCCCTAAATTCGGGATTGTCCCTTTGTGTGTTACTTAAGTAGCAAGCATCAGCACCACTGCCTTTACCATTCATTATTCTTTACCATCTACATTATAATCTAATTTAATCTAATCTAATGTATTATCACTCTATTATTATAGTATGTTATACTAGAGTGTTATATTGCTCTATTATATCTAGATTTTACTTTTTATTGTTATTAGCCATTGAAAATGCCTTTTGTTAGTAGATTATTCATTCAGATCAAAACACTTTCAAATTTAGTAGTTTCTTTGTAACCTAGTACTTCTTTAACTGTTGATAATATATGGCAGCTGAAACATCCCAAACTATTTGTAGGTTTGAAATTGCCATCTCAATTATTCTCACATATGATGGATCCTTTTGTTGTCCTATTAGATCTGTAACATTCTAGATTACAAATTCTAGATTAACTTAATGATTGAAACCTTAAATAATTAAGAAGTAGAAGTAACATTTCTTTTCACCTAAAGAAAAAAAGAAAAACCATCATAAAAAGCTGCAGACTCTATACAATTAATCGTGGTCCTCTCAAATGCATGTTACTTAGGAAAAATATCTGAGTCCCAGACTTGACAGAAGAACAGAATAGGTAGATTTCAAAGAGTATCGAGTAAAGCAGAAACACAAGAAAATGTTCAATTTATACTGTGTTGAAACTTCACCTTGTATTTAGCACTGGTAGAATAGCTGGTTCTCCAACGGACGGTGTAAAACCGAACCTCAGTAGTCTTTTGATTCTTTGGGACAGAGTTGTCTGCCCAGATGACCCTCACCGCATCATGGGTAAGTGCAACAGCCTGGACACCTACTGGTGGGAGCATGGGGGTGGAGATATCTGGGACTGAGGTAGGGAAATCATCAAGCAAAGGATAAAAATCAACTTCTAATGGATCAATGGGATCTGGGTCAAGAATCACCAAATGAGCATTCCAAAATAAACACATAAAAAAAGAAATAAAAAGAACAGTCATCAGTGGGCACACATCACAATGGGTTAAATGTATGGCAATAATGATGAGGGGGGAACATGAGAAGAACAAAAATAGAGGCATTAATTCAACAGGAAAATAAAACATTTCAATTACATTAGTATAATAAAGCTAACTAGCAATAAATGCTATTTTTCAGGATTTGTTCTGTGAGCGCTTTGTTCTCTTTACACCCCATGAAGTCAAAATGCATAGTTTCTGCTTAAAATGATTTAGATCGCTATAAAAAATGGAAACACATAAATGATACATTATTAAGAATACCTACAAAGTAGGAGTATTATTCTGAAGCCTGATTTTGTAGGCATGACATACGCTGATGTGTGTAGGAGTTACCTATACTTCTCTCTTTCTCTGTAGCCACTCTCAGGCTCTTTTGTTCTTTTATTGCTGTTCAAAGGAGCACATCCTGCATATGCTTAAATATTTGTTAAGCAATATGGAACATAACACTTGTAATGCTAACATGGAGGTTGTGCATTTGTTGGCAGCATGATAAATGTGTACATCTAGACATGGATATGGGGATTGTTTTTATATCTCTGAGTTTCTTCTTGAGATATAAGCATATTTCTTCTTTGATATCTCTGGTGATCCTGTGGCCTCGAAACAGACCAATAGGCTGTACTTAGCAGTATGCAGTCCATGCATAACAGCAGCTTTCAGATGACTGGCAGCCTGTGTTTGGTTTTCTTATGGAAGAAAGCTTACTTTCCTTTCCAAAATAAAAAATAAAAAATTGAAATTTGGAAGTCCAGAAATGCAGTTAGCTAACACCATCACAAATTCTGCAGCCTGACTTTCATTTAATTTCATAGTAACTAAATTGACTTCAAGAGAATTAACCTTGATTTATAGGGGTGTGACAGGAGTCAGCTCAGATCTCTTTTTTTTTTGGCCTTTGCACTTTTTAGTAATTCTGTTGCTTCTCAACAGAGGATTGTGGTGAGAGAAAAGTCAGTTTCTTAACATATAAATAAACATGATACTGCTTCCATGTAATAAATATAGATTATGGATTAACAATAATAAATAGTACTAGCATATGATATGGTTTATATTGATACTATATCATCATATATAAATTATTGGTATACTATATATATATATATATATATACACATAGACATGCATACTAAACTCATGCACATTTGTCTATAGACATTAAAATTTATATTTACCATTTAAAATAGTATACATATTATTTACTATTTAAAATGTTTGAATTTCACCAAATAAAACTCCAGACCGTTAAGTAAAATACAGTATACATACTCAAACTCTTTCCCCCTAAAATAGCTGTCTAGTCATTAATCCAAGTACGAATGACTCTGGACATTCCCTATTGAAAATTGCTTGAGTTTGTCTGGTCCCTGTCTATCTCAAACATCTACATTCTTTGATCGCTTTTCGTTTAATAATTTTGTGATTAATTTTTTAGGACTTCAGGAGGCTGTGGCCTTGGTAATTAAATTTATGGGAGACAAGCATGTTTAAAATCTATGATGAGCCACTAGCTAAACTTTCTTTTGCTGTGTCTTCAACCTCAAGCATCTTTAAGAAGTTTGAATAGAAAGGCTTAGGGATACAGAACAGTACGTTTTTCCTTGGTATTTCCAAAAATCATATGGGCATTCTTCACAGGAGAGTGAATTGAAATGTCTTTGCCTATTCATGGAGAACATTGCTGCTCTAAGATTGGGGATTTCAGGTTCCAGTTTAGAACTGAACTTTTCACAGAGATTTATCAAAAAGCTGTGAAATAATGATAAGCAGTGATAGTTTTTGTTTCCTTTTGGCTCATATAATCCATGCTGAAAGGTAATGTGTATTATAACCATGATTAAATATTTTGGCAAATAAAATCCTTCACATCTTTCTTCTTTTCCCACAGCAACTCCCTGAACTCTGAAGGCCTTTTGTACAGAAGATTATGAAGAGAGACTAGGGCCCAGCAAAACAAATGGTTAGATTCAATCAATCAAGATAATGCAGTTTTTGAAATCTGTCATCACTGCAGTGAAAAACTGGAATTTCTATAATCTGTTGGTGTCTGAAAATAGGCCCTTAAAACTTCCTCCATTTCTCAAAACAGAGCCATTTGCTAGTATTTATGTACGGACATCTGTCATTTAGCAATTGCATTCCATTGATTAAAAAAAAAAAGTTTTTGCTTTCATTACAGCTTGTTTTGCTGATATTGCTTGTCATATCATTTAACACCACACATTCCATACAAACCAATATCTGTATCTCTTTGTACATATAAGCTTAATAGACATGCATACACATACATTAGTGCAATTCTCTTCTGTACTCAGGGCCAGTCAGTTCAGCCATTTCTCAGGAAACAACATTAAAAAGCTTTCCCACTGTGCTGAATGCAATTTTGATATACTGTTCCATGAATGAACTGTACAACTGACTCATTTCAGCAGCGGCATCCAGAGCGGTAAGAGATTAGCAGCTCCTTGTTAGAGCTGCTACTACTAATGAAGGAGAAGTTCCAGAGTGCAGTGCTTGAACAGGCGCCCGATCCATCCACCGCAGTAGAGCCTCCTACTCAAAACACCTTTTTCATACCCAGATAGCACTTCATTTATGAGAAATCATATACAGACTTAAATAAAATAGGTAATTCTTGATATAAAATCAACAGGGAAAAAAAGGCTTGGGAAAAATATATATCCCGAGAGATTCTGACCTAAATTCATTGGAAAAAAAAACATTTAAAAGACAGTGTTTGGAAAGTTCAGCAAGAACAACTGACACTTTTGGACACCAGGCATGACGTTATATTAGCAATCCTGAAGCCACGTGAATGAGTGGCATCCACTACATTTGGATGTGGATTGACACAGTCACCATTATTATCTAAAATCTATTTTTTCTCTGCTGAGTTTCCAAGATTTTTCATGGGAATACTTCACAAAAAAATCATCTGGAAAAAGATGGTTTTCCATTGGGAGCCACAGAGCTGCCATTTGATGTCATTATTCCTTGCGGTTCACCCTTGTCAGTCTGTCATTTGGTCCTTTTGCTCTCAGTGACATACGCTTCCTTTTTCGCAGGAAGTTTTTAACATGGTGAGTGAAACACAAGGGGGAAAAATGCCGTATCAAATGATAGTGCCACTCCAGAGGAAAACCATTTTTTTTATATACTTCTTTAGTTTCACTTGGCTGTAGTCCCACCTGCTCAGCTTTCCCCAAAAAATCATCTCAACGGTCACTTTGGACCAAGTACATACTCTTGATTTTGTACCATAAATATGTCTATGAAAGAAAGTTTCATGACAAATATGGGGCTCAGTTAATATCAGGCATTCTCCTTTATGTGAGCCCTAAATCATCATTCATTTTAAACAATACTTTGTTTCAACTTATCTGAGGTTGGGTTATCCAACTCTGTACTTTTCTGTGTGGGTTCTAGGTTTTAACTAACTCCAGCTTAGAAGAAAAAAAAAAAAAAAGAAAAAGAAATGGATTCTGTGTCTGATCGATGTCAGCAGCCCTTATTCAAACCTAATCTTGGGATATTTTTGTCTGGAAATCACAGTTCACTGAAGCCAAATTCCACCAAACTGCTAACACATTTGCAAGCCCTACATTATTTTATATTGGCTATGGAAAATTTACTACAGTACAAAATATTTCTGGGATGTGTAATTAATTTGCTACAGCGCATCTGTGTAAATCAACTGTTTGGAATGAGGTGGAAAACTCATCTGATTCATTTTAGCAGAGACTTAAATATAGCATTGACTTCCCAAACTGGTATGCCCATAAGTAAGGCTAATGATAACTGATATGGAACAGCATATAAGTTACGGCGCCCAACTCACCTGTCATGGATCTAGTGGTGGCACTTTCATAAAGAGGCACTCCCTCACCTGCATTATTAAAGGCTTTCAGAGAAATTACATAATGGGAACTTTGCTCTGCAGGCAAAAACAAACAAGGGAAAACAAAGTACACATTGTTAAAGTCATTCCTGCAAATGTAACAGAATAAGCACTTTCCTGACAAATAAATAAAACATGTTAAGTGAAAGCCTGTTCAAAACGAATGGCTAGAGAGCATCTTTGCAATCTGTCACACTTTTGTTGCCATTCTAAATGACTTGCTTGTTGAGGTGCAAACCGTACAGCCCCTATTAGTCACTGTTCTCATTTAAGTCAAAAGAAGATTTGCTTGAAGACGAACTTCCAGATCAGCCTTGTATTGTGCTAGGAATTACCCCCGCAACACAAGCCTGCCAGTACAGAAAGTCCTAAATAGAGCAGAACCACTGCATGGGAAGGTTCATATGCAAGTTCACACCCAAACCCACCTTATTGTTCAGGGTCTTAATTTGCATCACTGTGCACCGTGGCAGGTCCACCACTGTCTATACAAAAAACAGTACTGTAAAATGCATAGACTATGGCTGGCGTGCTATGTCAGTACGAGGATGAATGTGTGACGTCCCCAACTCACTCCCCATGTTTTTAAATTATGATTTGGGATGGGATTGGAAGCTAAGGATTCAAAGATTCAAATAATATATCTGATAAGCTTTTCAAAATCCATGTCTGCGCACCTTTAATATACCACGCTGCTGGAATTCTTGTTCTGAACCAAAATTAAAGCAATTTATGCACCGTTGTAATTGCTATCTGACTGCTGAGCAGTATGTCTTATTCCCTAATTCGAGTGTGACAGAAAATGCATTGGTAATAGCCATTTTAACACTTTTTATCTTATTAACATTGAAAACTTATCAAGCCTTGAGCTATCTGAATAATATTGGCTTCCCTAACTTGATGCCCAGCCATTGTATATCACCCTGGTGTATGACTAGAGGATTTATAATTTACTAACTGTTATACTAATGAAGACCACTCATCATTTAGGGACCTACATCTAAGCTATTCAGCTATTCCAGCTGTGCTATAAATGTATGGGATGAGGGTGACAGAGATACCAATGTAAAAGAAACATCTTCAGGGAATGTGGATAGTCTCTGATACTACTATATGTCCTAGTTTATCAGAGGCCTATTCTAAATATATCCCTCGAAGAAAGCAAAGCAAGCAGAGCAGGTCAGTTTCATAATGCTTTCCGTTACTGTTTTAGGGGAAAATAAGAAAATCTATTCTTTTGCATTTTCCCATGTGAATTGGTCTTGGCCACACTTTTTTTCAGTAGAGAACTTATTATTATACAGCTGAAAAGTCTGATGGAGTATGCTGCATGCTGACATCTGGGTCAGAAACATGGAAATACTTTTCTTGAGATTCTTTATTTAACAGTAGCAAACACTTTTATATGTGGAAACAGTAATTAATGTTACAGTACAAAAAAAATTCTGTGGAATTATATATTTCATCCACATTAACACTAAATGAGTCTAGTATGATTAATGTTATTACAGTGAATATCAAATGGATTAATGATAGTTAACTACTTACTGTATACCATTACTACCACCCCCATATTTTATAATTAATTGTATTTCTAGTAGAAACTGTGACATATTAGCTTAATATCCAGGTGAGATTTTTTTTTTATTCCCAAAAGAGCTAAACTTTAAAAATTGCTGAATTAATGACTGGAGCATTAATAACACTCTACACTAGGTACTGCATGATTATTAATTCAATTGGTATTCATTGTAATATCATTAGTCATGATGGAATTAGTTAGTATTCATGGAGATGTAATATATATTTTCATGTGATTTTTGCCATCCATTAGCATATTATTTTAAATTTCTAATCACTACGTAGAACTCACAGAACTCAAGTAGCTGTTCACTAGATTTCACATACAGATATGGTCCTTGATACAATAAGGACCTTGTTACATATTAATTTTTTGGCAGCTCATGGAGCCCTAAACCCCTGGATTGTCCACACATTGACACCTAAGGGCATGTGTACACTAAATGGGGGCCCTAAATTGAAGCAGTGGGTTTTAAAAAGCACTGCTTCAATTTAGGGCTGATTAAACCCCCATGTCGTGCACACACCCTGCTGACTTACCTGCCTCTCTGGCAGGGAGGAGAGGGCGAGCTGCCGGTGGGCAGAGTGGTCCTTCTGCAGCAGCAGCAGCCCCGCCTCCCACCCACCCACCCACCATCCCCGAGACGGCACCCGCCCACAGGCTTGCCACTTTTCTTGGGTGTAGCCTGCCTTCCCAGGCTGCTGCCAGGCTGCCTGCAGGGCTTCCTGCAGAGCCCCTGAGCTGCACAGAGCCCAGTGCTTTGGCTCCACTCCTGAGAGGAGTTTTAATTTGCTGTGCCCCAAGTCATTTAAGATTCATTACGCTGCTGAATTTTTTACAGAGGCCGAAATTAATGCGCAATGCACTGCCGAGGTGTACAAACTCCAACACCATTAAAGTGGTGTAAAAGCATTTAGCCTGTTTTAAAGTGTGGTGTGCACACGCCTCTCATTCCATCTGCACATGGCGTAAGACTAGCTTTAAGGACTCTTTAGGTGACTTAAAGTTACACCAGTCCAGCCTAGGTTTATCTCTGATTCATGTCAGCCAGCTTGTGTTACACTAATGTTTGGCCACTGTAGGCTACACCTTAGTGTAAACACCCAACCCAACCCACTCCCTGCTGACCCAGATTGGGCCCACTGTCCCCACTTCCACCCCTCCCCAGCACAATATAGTTGTGCTGACTGCCCCCTTGCTCCCCTCCCCCCAGCTTACTTGTGGTTGCCCATGCTGTGCCCCCCAGGGGAACAG